CAGGTCGAACGGTGTTCCTTTCACGATTAGGAAGTCCAACTTCACGATAAGTTCACCAAACGATGTTGGTATCTGATGGGGCGATCCCAAGCAGGGCGCATTAGCACCATCTGCCACCATGATATGCTTCTCAGTCGGTTGTGGGGAGAGGCAAAGCTTAGATGCCAACTTTGGAGAGATTATATTCGGTACGGCCCCAGAATCTAACAGGGCTTGAGCTTCCGTCCCATAAACCTTCACAGTTACCAGCCGCAGCCTTCGAGAATTCGTATCGGCGTGACCTGCGAAAGCACGACCACGGACTCTTTGTTTCGCAAACAAGCGTTCTATCTCCTTCTTCGCCACTTCCGCATCGCCGCGAACAAGCTGCCCGAAAGTGAGTCCGGAAGATGCGTTTGCAAGCTCCGAAACGACATTATACCTCCTCACATACTCCTGGAGGGATGGTCTTCTGGTCACTTTCTTCGCTTTCTTCCTCAGGTGGGACCTCCTTGGCCCCGCCTTAAGTGGCAGAGCCCTCTTTTGCATCTCGAATGGTACAGGCGGGTTCAGAAGCGTGGGAAGTGCACCTCCTCCCGCGTTTTGTGCTGCTTAGGAAGAGGTTCCCCGTCTGCGTTTCTCTTAGTGACGGCCAAGACTTCTCCGTCGTTCGCCTCGTCAATGTAGGTGACCTGGGCATTCCCTGCACCTTCTATGGCAAGTTCTGTGGACTGAGCTGTGGCTCCTACCCTCGGCAGTACCGCTCTAAGCCTGGTACAGCACGTCTCCTTTGCATGACCAAGCTTCCCACAATTCGAACAACGAGTGTCTCGGCGCGGATTAGAAGGGCATCGGCTGGCTCCATGCCCCGGTTCCTTGCAGAATGAGCAGGTTCGGACCTGGCCACCTTGATCTGCTGTCTGATTCTTCTTTACCAACAAAGAAAGTTCTGCTAGCCGTTCTGCTAGCACGTCCACTTTCTTTTCGATCTTGTCCGGCTCCTGGCGTCTTTCCGGTCTCTGTAGAATGCGCTTAGGCGCCGGAGGCTGAGGTTGCCTAGCATTGTGTGCAGCCATAAAGGCTTTGCGGCCAGACACGAAGTCCTTAACGGCCTTCTTGAGCGTCCCGTACGAGGTAGGTGCCCTATACAAGACGAACTGTGACACGTCGGTGTGCTCCGTGACCGCGTTCCGGAGTAGTCCGAACTTGGCTTCGGGGTTGAACGCTGCTTTATCGAAGCGGCGATCAATCACGTTTAACGACGCGAGCACGTCGTTGCCGTCCAACCTACTCGCAACTGCGAGCCTGATGTTTTCTTCCGGTTCAGGGACTGACTCCAAACGGTCGAGCAATGCCTTCTTGACGGTTTGGTAGTCCCTGGCCGCCTCGTTCAGTCTACCGTCTTGGCTGTACGTTTCATAGTAGTAGTCGAAAGCCTCCCCTTGCAGGTAACACAGTAGCTCTCCGGCTTTGTCTTTGTCGGACTTGCCTTTCATTACGACGTTTTCGTAGACAAAGAAGAACTTGGCGACATCCGCTTCGTGCTTACCATTGAACACCAGGGAAGCGGAAAGCGCCTGACTGTTGGCGTCGGCCCTCCACAAGAGTACCATGTTGGGGTGAAAACGGGATGCGTCGTCCCCATGTCTTACCCGTGTGTGTTTTCTGTCATGTGTCTGCCCTCGGCCGTACAGGACGACCGAAACCCACCGCATTTATACTCTTTTTGCGCACTGTCTACAATTACTAACTTAAACTTCCAATTACTTACACCGGTCCCAACCACGTGTCACAATCATGTCTGTTTCCTTTTACTGTATATGCTCTAGATCATTTGTTGCCTTATCGTGATAGCATCTACATTTCCTATCTGCCGATACAGTGGTCCCTCACTATCTGGATCCTCGGTAGGTGAATATCCTCGATATGTGCATGCCACTGCTTGGAACGAGCTCCGGAGAGTTGTTTGCAGGTCACATATGAGGTATTCATGAATACGGCCTAACTGAATACCACAAGCACATCTTAATCATAATAGGCCTCATACAAGAGCATTCTATGAGACAAAACTGAGCTATGATAACTTTATTCATTATAAGTGTGGTTCAATTTCCAGTTTTACTGGGCAATCGAAAATTGACACACCTCGAACGCGCAAACAAAGCCAAGCAGACCCGCATTATTAAATATTTTGGTTAAAAGTATGGGATTGTTACATATTTGGGCTGCATATGATACATCCTTAGTTTCTGAATTAACACCATAACTGAGGGGCGTTCTTGGAGTTTTTACAGGCTGGGAATTAGAAAGTTTAGAAACTTGTCGTACGCTATATATCCAATAGGTGCCGGAAACGTTTCCACGTGTGTTTCCACCTTTCTATCATCTGTTTTCGTATATGGGAAATCTGGAATTCCCTTACGTGAAAACGGATGAAACTGAAATCGCAGTCCCGCCAAACAAGAAAGTCAATAATGCTTGTTGTGGGATAACTCCTCTCTGCCCTGGGTTGGGTGAGAGGCGGAGGCTATAGAGAGGGAGCACGCGGCTCGGACGCGACGCGCTAATTGAAACGATCGGACGAGCTCGTGAAAAGGGAGTGGCTCACTCGCCGGTTACGCGCAGTCGCCCCGTGGTGCGTGAACGGGAGCGACCAGTAACGGGTTAGAAGCCAGCGCGCGCGAGAGACAACCGAAACGGACGTACATAGGCGCGAAAGGGACGGGGGAAAGCTTGCCCCAGTTTACTGGTAGGGACGGGTGTCAGGTCTTTACTCCTCAGAGGGACGCCTCGGACATCTGTCTTGGTGTACAGTACCTGTCGCCTAGTACGTACCAGGTGCTGTACGCAATTAAAAAGCTAGCGCCTCAATTCCTAATTACCGCGCGGACGCTGCAGGTACACGTGTGTACTACTGTACACACGCGCTGCTTACAGACTACCGCACGGATGCCACGTGTGCTAGGGTACACGCGTATTACTAGCAGACTACCGCTTGGCCGACACGTGCACTACTGTACACGTACACCAGATTAAGACTGGTCCGTACACGCGCGCGCTCCCTATACGTGGGCACACGCGCCCACGTGTGCACCGTTCACGGCGGCACGGTTAATAACCTCCCCGCCCGCGCGTCCGTCGTTATACTACACTTGTTATCCATCAATCTGTCCGTCTCCTCCTGTTCCCTCCCTATCCAGCCCCGTTCCCTCCCTCACCAGTCCCGTTCCCTCTCTCACCAGTCCCGTTCTCTCCTTCCCTAGTCCGGATCCCTCTCTACCCAGACAGGTTCCCTCCCTCCCCAGTCCCGTTTCCTTCCTCTCGCTGCCCCTTCCCTCTTTACACAGCTCCCGCTCTCGTGCGTTCTTTCCGCCATTGTTTGCGGCCAAGATGTCGACACCTCCAACCTCTCCCACCATGGCGCCTCATACAGTGCGTTATACATCGCTGCTTTCGATCTCGGCACGCCACTTCCTGAGCACTCCGCCCCTCCCACACCCTTCCTCACCGACGCCTCCAACTATGTCTCCCGCCCTTCCCCCTCGTTCGCCCGTCGCCGCCCTCAAACGCATCTTGCCCCCCTTTTTCGACCCGCCCCGCGCCGAGCGATACGCGTTTCGTAAAGGCACGCAAATGCCAAGTGGGGATGAAATAAGCGACTCTGAAGGACGACTAGCGACAGAAGAAGAATTCAGAGTTATTAATTCTTCTTCAAGCGTGACTCCCAGTAGAACCCTGTTCGGTTGAAGTACTTGCGTGGGTCTGGAGTGTCGTGTAACGTAGGTTGCCATATTGTTTATAGCAATGCCATAAATTGCTGCGATGATACTTCCTAGGGGCGAATTACGCAAACTTTGAAATTGCTGCGCTGCTGCTTGGCAACTTGGGATAGATATTTGAAATTCGATGGGTGCAAGCACTTTGTTGAGGGCTTGCTATGTTTCATGAATAATGCGTATGTGGTGGACGTTGCCACACCATAAAACCAACCATTATTTAAGTAGCTAGCCCCTGCTAAAATCCGCATTGTGATGCAAAGCATAGTTTCATCACTTTTCGTTGAGTTTGTGCAATTTAGTCGAATTTGAGACCTCTCTAGCACCGACCGCAATTTATTGCAAAGGTCTTGAAATAGTGCTGGAGAGAGGCGATACAGTTCTGTAAATATGTCTTCACCAAGCAACGCCAGATGTTTTCCCAGACAGAAACTTTCTCTGATCGCTGTGATCGTGTGTCGAGATAGGACACGGCAATTAATTGACGCCTGTAAGATTGTTGAGAAAAGTATTTGCAACGTCTCTCCGATTTTTTTTCTCGGTCAATACTCTGCGGAACGGGATACGCCGCCTAGTCGTAGAGGTAGACGAAACGAGCAGCCATCTTTCTCTTAAATTGCAGGTGGCAGAGGGAACGATTTCACGATGGAAACGAGCAGGCATCGGTATCTGCAATGGCGGTCGCAGAGGGAATGATCGAGTATGAGCACTCCTGGGGTGCACACCTAGTACTCGAGTGCGATATTATTGGTTGTCTGTGAAATGTTTCTAAATGTTATAGACCGAACGGCGAGACGGAAATTGGAAATCAGTGCATTGCTGTCATATTTCTGATTTCCAAATTCCAGCTTCGAGAAATTCATAGAATGGCCCTGAGTATGGAAGGAAGCAGCCATCCATATTCAGATATCGAGGGATCACTGTACAGGTATCTGTAAGCAGAACAACCAAATATACCTACAAGATCTTCAGTATTGCGCTGTCGCATGGCATGCCGGACACGTGTCTGAATGCCGTGGAAATCCTCGTGCGATCCGAAGAGTGCTTCCGCGGCGCCCACGCGTACGACGTGGAAGATGCAAGATGCTATAATAGCACTGCATGGACGTCTTCTCTCCCGTCTTCTCCCATTGATCGATCTCGCCGTCGACAGACTTAAATCTGACACCCCACCTCCTGCCCACATTATCCGTTCTCGTCCCCATCCGAGTCCCCGACCGCGTCTCCACCCCCGCCCCCTCTCGTCTATATGGAAATCTTAAATCCTGTTCCCCAAACGCATCGTCC